AAATACCATCAAAGTCAGTTTTATACTTGTCAAACCATTCCACTGTTTTGTAAAAATATCGCACTTTTTTGGCACATCTGGTGATAGTAGAATATTGGCTTATTCCATGACCAGCTGCTGCAGGATAGACGAGCATTGGTGTATACCTTAGCAGCATTTTTTCTTGCATTTACGCAAAGAGATTGTTTTCAATGTCTCGAACCTGTGGCCTACGAGTCACAATACTAGTACTAGAATAAGGTTTTTATCAAGCTGAATCCCATCTTTTATTATCTCACAGAGAGAATGGTTACAGAAAAGAAGCTTGAAATCCATACAAAGTCGCCAAGAATGGATGACTAGTGAGACAGAAAATGTTTCAAGTAGCATAGACAATGGAAGTTCAAATAAACATCACCTTATTCATTTCCACAATACCAAAAAGAATTACATTTAATGTAAAGAGGATTACACTAAACAACTTCTTATTTTCGTTTATCAGAAAACGGACTTTCATTCATTATCATTAGTGCACAGCGCAACCAAGAAAGAAAAATGCGCCACATTTCAACAAAGTCTCACCATTAAGGGCGTGAGGGATCTAGCAGTTCTCTAATATGAGTTTCAACTTTCTTCCGAATTGAAGCATTTGGGAAACGGTCTACTACTTCAGCAGCAAACGAAAAGATCAAAGCTTTTCTGGCAGTTTCTATGTCAACACCCCGTGCCCTGAAGTAAAACAGTTGGTCCTCCTCGAGGTCACTGATTGCAGCACCGTGAGAGCATTTGACATCATCAGCGATGATTTGGAGATTAGGTTTGACATTCACAGTTGCTCGAGGCTCCAAAAGGAGGCTCCGTGTAAGTTGTCCTGCATCCGTCTGCTGCGCGTATCTGCAACATCATTTATAATAACAGACACATTTAAATCTCACACATTAAACAATAATCAAAACCATCGACACAATTTGACAGTCGCGTGCAGTATCTGAATAAAGACTACTGTATTCAAATGCAGTTTGAGTAAATTAAAGGAGAAAAGAAGGTGAAGTCTTTCCTAAGATTGTATTATATCTCTTATTGATAAGATAAAACTCAAAAGGTGAAACACCAACTTTTATCTTCTAATAGTTAACTGCCTTAATAAACACTAATAAATTGTAAAAGTCGTTATAATCAACTGAAATACTACAACAACAACAAAACCCACTATAATCCCACGAGTAGGGTCTGGGCCTCTGGGGAGGGTAGTGTGTACGCAGACCTTACCCCTACCTCAAGAAAGTAGAGTGGTTGTGCTATATCACATGGACCATTTGACTTTTGGACACAACCACACAGGTATGTTCACCAACTATTTTAAGAAAATCGATATAAAGTACCCATGTCTGTTTGACATGGATAGAATATAAAGTGAATCAGTTTCAAGGTAAACGTAGGATTTGAGTGACACAACTAGCAAATGACACCTGATCCATTGACCGCCAAAAAGCAAGAAATGTCGAGGCTGCTCACTTTAACTGATGTCATGGAATATGCCACTTCCATTCAGGCTTATACTATCTTAATATGTCAGAACATCTTTGTAGATTGCAGAACATAAACCGAGAATTGACTAAGATTATACCACAGTGAAATAGTAGTGAAAGTATTTTGAACAACGCAACATTAAGACCCTCCAGGAAAATATATCACCATATAAATAATTTAAAAAGAAAATCACGTAAGAAAACGTGAACGGAAACAGCACCATGAGATATAGAATACACAGACGAAACAATAACAGTATTTAAATGTTCAACACTGGTGATTTGCGAGTCACTCAAATAAACACCAAGTTGAGACAGAATATAATACCTATTGACTTGAACGTTTCCATCAAAAACAGCCTGTCCAGACGAATGGGCCACAATGCACTTGTGGATCTGCTGAGATACACCTCGAGGATGGTCTAGGACTAATGTACTATGTAGATCTTGCGTTTGATCGGAGATACACATATGAAATGTAGATAACTCAGTAACTGTGTCTGGACCAACTTGCTGGATGTGAATATTGTGCCTACTCAACTTTCCACCAGTGCTTACTTCTATATGCTCGTATGTGCTAGTTGATTCCTGAAAATAATCAACTCAATTATGAAGCAAACTTAAATCTCCCCAGACTACAAGCAAAAAAAAAAATCTGGAGTTGTTACAGTAGTTGCTTAAAGCTAACAATAAGACTTTCAGAAGGAACGGTAAAATTGTCTCTGTGACCTATAGGTCACGAGTTCAAGCCATGGAAACAGCCAATAATGCTTGCATTAAGGTAGGATGTCTACATTACACTCCTTGGAGTGGGCCCTACCCCGGACCCTGCATGAACACGGACTGCACTTTTGCCCTAATAAGACTTTCAGAAGGAAAAATACATACTTCTGCATTAGCTCTGCTCATGGAGGGAAAGGTAACATTAAATTACTCATAGTGTTACTATCAAACTAAAGAGATAAAAATCTTCATTTTCAACCGACATTACTAAGTTTTTTGTTTGATAGTTAAGCAACAAGTTGCGGAAGAGTGTGGACATCAGAACCAAAAAGTTGCAGCCAAGCCTGGACTGGTATTCACATCGCTAGCATAAAATTGCTCTTAAAAAACTGCACGTATTACGAATCTTTGATGAGTTAATTATCAAGGTTAATAACACCATTATCCTTATTCTGAAAATCTCTTGGATGTTCTGTATAGTGTATACAGAGAAAAGGAGAGAAAGGAAAAAAGCATGCTGGAATGACAGGACAGAGGAGAAAAGTAAAAATTGTTTTGTTTTTTTGTTTGATTCAAAGAGAGAACAGAAGGAGTCTGTTCCGTTTGATATTAATCTCTTAATATGCAATTTCATTTTCTCTGCATGTGTTTGGATCACAGAAAAAAAAACTTTCCGTTCTCTCTATTTCAGCTTGCCTGGAGCTGCTGTAGTTGATCTAAAACGAAAGAAGATAAGCTGTTATCACATACTGTTGTTTAGCACCCACCAGTCAAAATACCATCACCCTACCATCCATAAAATAATTTAATTTTTTTGCTTTTAGTTCTATATGTTTGGTTCAGTTTTAATCTTGCCTGCAAAGGTAATTAAAACTATGGAGGCCTACTGTAGAAGTTTCATATGGTCGGGGGCTAATTCTATAACAAAGAGAGCTCTTGTGTCTTGGGAGAAGATGTGCTTACCATGTGCTGCTGGAGGTTTTCAACTACCAATATTAAAATCTTGAACAAAGCTGCCAAAAGTGTGTTGGGACCTAGAGCGTAAGGTGGACAGACTATGGATCAAATGGATACATGCCTTTTACATTAAAGGACAATAGCTGGAATCTATCGCTATACCACAACAAGCTAGTTGGATGTTGCGGAAAATATTGGAATCTAGAGAACAACCGAGACAGATAAAGGCGCTACAAAAGGAAACCAAAGCTTGATTAGACATATCTATCTACAGTTGTTGGGAGATCATGCCAAGGTACCATGGAAACATCTGATGATTAACACCAGAGGGAAGACTCTACATGCTCGGTTGCTAAGAATGATATTTGCAGAACATGTTCATGCCATATGGAATGAAAGAAATACCAGAATTTTTTAAAGAATAGAAAGAGATGTGTAAACCATAGCAAAAGAAATTGCTTGTGTACGCAGCATGAGGTCATCAGGAGGAGTAAAGAGCTTATTGCAGCAGCGCTACTTCTAGAAAAAAAAAAAACACTAGAGTGAGGCTAGGAGAAAGAGTAACATGTAATCTAGGAGAGACATTCCTGGATATTTCGCAGCCTAGATAGCGATTCTGTTTGTGTTTGAGATCAATCTTATTTGAGAACAGCTGACTTGGATGTAGTCAAGCTGAGAATTGTAAATATTTACTTGGTGATTAATAAAGCCTTTAATTACCCAACAAAAATAATAATGATGTAACTTAAAACTTATTCTTCATCTCAAATTGATTATAAGTTTCTTTGTGACTCGAGGAGAGAATAGACGATTGCCCAATCTCAAAAATGATTTTCAGGTTTAGCGAAGGTAGGCCAGAGCATCCTGTCAAAAAAATTAAGGCAATAATTGAACCTAAGACCTTTATAAATCCTTTTACATGTCCTAACATACTAGATATGAGACATAATATAATTCAACAAGCACCAATAGCCAATCACATTATACATGAGAATTTTATTGAATTATGCATAATATGCCAAGGTCATATTTAGTTTCAAAAAAAAGGAACAAGTTTACCTGTTGAACCCAAGTCCACTTGATATGTGCAGCATTTAGAGATTGATTTTGGAGGTAAGAATGGCTCACTTTTGCCCCTTCTCCAACAACCACTTCTATAACAGAATTTGACCAGTAACATTTATCTTTATCTCCACCAACATACTCCTCAACTATACTAATCTCCCCTCCCTTCTCCACCAACACCAACACCCTCGGATTCGAAAAGGGCAAAGCTTTCAACCCCTTATCGCTACTTTCACCGGAAATGTACCTCAAAAGCAAAGGATTCTCAACCTTGCACCCTTCTGCTACATAAACTAGTAATACATCAGGGGCACCTACGCCATTAAGTGACCAAAACAAATCACCGTTAAAACCAGATTCATACTCAGATACCCTTTTCAATATAGCCTCAGATTTCACACTCAAAAGACTACCAACATAAACTCCACTAGTCAATTCTGTTAACCGAGACAAATCATTCATAATATAACCATCAAGAATTGAAATTGTAGGCAAAAGGGTATCTGAAAATACATCCAAAGAAGAAGCCTGAAACTTTGGAGGCAAAATCGGTTCAATTCTTGAATTTTTCAAGAATGAAGTGTCAGTGAATCTAAAAGGTTCATCTTTACGAGAAGGCCAAGGGGTTGAAAGAAGGTTTTCTGAGGAAGTTTCCCTTAACTTCTGAAGTGTTGGGGAAGATAAGGAAGGCAAAGAATCTTCAAGGGTTTCAGCTATTTGGAGAACATATGGGTCTGAAAGTGCTGAAATTGGATTTAATTTAGGTTTAGTAAAGACTCTAACTTTAGGATTTTTTTGGTTAATTCGTGTTGATGTTGAGAGAGATGAGGGTACAGATACAGAGGTTGATTTAGTAGAGAAGATTGGTGCCAAAGCAGAAGCCATTGAAGTATCTGAAGCTAGGCGTTTGGGGTTTGTCGTCAGATTCCAACTTTTATACTTGGACTTCTTTGTTTTTTTTCTTTTTCTTTTTCTTTTTCTAATCTCATTAGAATTGTTGTCTGCGTATTTTCCATTATTTCTTTTCTTTTTTCTTTCTAATTTCTGTTCGGCCAAAATATTTATATCTATTAATTGATACATAAGGTAAAAATATTTATATCTATTTTTAGAGATTTCCGGTAGTTTCAAAATAATTATGACTTTGTATTGTAAATGATAATATGTAGGAAAGTAGGCTATGGTAATCCAAAGGAAACACTTTATTGACCAAAAAGGAAACGAGATTATGATTTCAGGATTAAATCGAGTTTGAGTGTATATTATCTTTTATCTCAAATATTTATTCAACTAACATTTTTCTGCTGTGAAACATTAATCTATTTTGGCTGATACAGTAAAAATATACAGGGGTATATCTAGTTCTTTTTCAATTCTTTCAAGAATATAATTGGACCTTTTCAATTGTTACGGGGCAATGCTTAAAATTATTATATTTGTAGGGTATATATAAACCTTTTTCATATATTAGAGGTAAATTTCGTTATTTTATTTGTCTATATGGATCCATCATAGCAATGTCAAAGTCTAAGCTGAACAACCATTACTCGAAAGGTATATTTGAGACGAAAGATAACAATGAGGACTTTCATGAACCAACATATATGTAAACGAAAGATAAATGTAATACAAATCGAATGTTTTAGGGGTAAATTTGAACATTTAACGTAGCTACCATTTCGATTCAATTTTGTTACGAATGAAAAGTGACAACGACATACTCACAATGCTGTTGCGAATTCAGTAGCTCAAATGGTAATAGTAATCGAATCCTTTTTTTTTTTTTTTAATTTTTATGTTTGTATTTTGGAACCACTCCCATGTATTAAATATTTTTGAACTTGATTACCTAGGGATAAAAAGTGTGTCAGTCCCCTACATTATGGCAATTAAGGACATGTATGATGGGGCTAAGACTCGGGTTAGGACAGTAGGAGGCGACTCTGAGCATTTTCCGGTTGTAATGGGGTTACACCAAGGTTCTGCGCTCAGTTCGTTCTTATTTGCTCTGGTGATGGACGCGCTAACACACCATATTCAAGGGGAGGTGCCATGGTGCATGTTATTCGCTGATGATATAGTTCTTATTGATGAGTCGCGAGCCGGTGTCAACGATAGGCTGGAGGTTTCGAGACAGACTCTTGAGTCTAAGGGTTTCAAGCTGAGCAGGACGAAGACGGAATACCTGGAGTGTAAGTTCAACGCTAAGCCGGTGGAAGTTGGCGTGGATGTGAGGCTTGAATCACAGGTTATCCCAAGTAGAGGTAGCTTCAAGTACCTTGGGTCGATTATCCAGGGGGGAGGGGAGATCGACGAGGATGTCACACACCGTATTGGGATAGGATGAATGAAGTGGAGGTTAGCATCTGGAGTCTTGTGTGATAAGAGAGTCCCACCGATGCTCAAAGGAAAGTTCTACAAAGCGATGGTTAGACCGGCCATGATGCATGGGGCTGAGTGTTGGTCTGTTAAGAACTCACGTATCCAGAAGATGAAAGTAGCAGAAATGAGGATGTTGAGGTGGATGTGTGGGCATGCTAGGATGGATAAGATTAGTAATGATGTTATTCGGGAGAAGGTGCACGTAGCTCCCATTGATGCCACGATGCGGGAATCGAGGCTAAGATGGTTCGGGCATTTTAAGAGAAGAAGCCCAGATGCTCCGGTAAGGAGGTGTGAACGGCTGGTTGTGGAGGGCACGAGAAGAGGTAGAGGGTGACCTAAGAAATATTGGGGTGAGGTGATAAGGCAGGATATGGCGAGGCTTCGGATTTCCGAGGATATGACACTTGATAGGAAGATGTGGAGGTCGAGTATTAGGGTTGTAGGTTAGGAGGTAGTTGAGTCTTGTCTTAGTTCGCACCTTTGTAAGACTAGTCTGGTAGAGTTTTTTGTCTAAGATAGTTAGTGGCAATGTTGTGTCTTACTATTTCGCTTTTCAATGCAGGACCTTTTGATTAGCTTTCGCTTTTGCTTTCCATCTTTCTTCTAGATTTCATATTGTTCCTATTTTTCCTACGATTTCTGTGGTGATACTAATATTGTCTCATTTTTGTCCTTTTGTTTTCTTGAGCCGAGGGTCTTCCGGAAACAGCCTCTCTACTCCTTCGGGGTAGGGGTAAGGTCTGCGTACACACTACCCTCCCCAGACCCCACTAGTGGGATTTTATTGGGTTGTTGTTGTTGTTGTTGTTGTTGTTGAGTTCCGAAGGATTTATCATGGTTATAACCATGGTCGGAGTTGATGATTTCTACGTGTATAGAGGCTATATTGCGTGTGATGGTGTTTTCCTGGATTGGGTTAAATGAAAGATTCTAGGTTGATGGGGTGTTCCATTTGCATATAGTTTAGAGTTGGCTAAGAGATTTTTGTAGTGTTGCGAGTGCCATATTAAAGGCGATGCGCCGTATGGGGTTGAAATTACAGGTATAAGGTTGCAAATAGTTTTGGAGGGAAGGATATGAGTTCTTGATGTCTCGGACGATTTCGGGTGTTTAAGCTTTTGCTGGCACTATGTGTTCCTATCGGAGTAGGGTTCGACTGTTGACAGGTACCATGTGTTTTGACTTATGGATGTTTTCCGTGAGATGACGGAGTATGAGTTACGTGTTAGCTATTGAGTAGCGGTGTTGAGATGGGGTATGAAAATTCTGTATTCGTGGGGCTCAGAGGTTGAATGTTCTTGTTGACAGACCATTCCTGGATTACGAGTTGAGAAGAAATGTAGAGGATTAGATGGTTGATGGTAGGTGTTAATGGAAAGTTGCTATAGACTTTTGGAGGGTTTATTACATGTTTGAGGAAGATCGGAATTTGGTTTGGGGATTATTTTGAGCCTAATGAGAATGTGTATTCTGTATCGGATCGGACCTGTTTGTTTTGCACAGTTGTCGCCATGTGAATATCATCGGGCGGAATGGATGTTATTCATTTTTATGCTATATGTTTCTCTCTTATTTTACGGCGGGTTGTGAGGGTTACATGATTCTTCGTACGCGTATCGTGATTCAGTTTAGGCCTCATGGCACTATGGGTGAGGTGGCCTTTGTGATGTTGATTTGCTTATTGCACCATAGTTGTGCTTGTCCTTCTCAGTATTGTTTGTTCCTAATGATTTTCCCCATAGTTATATTTTTGTACACTCTATTGTGCTTGATATTGATGAACATGTGATCAGCGAGCCCGAGTATTATGGCTCGAAGGGTACCCTATGTGGATTAATATGATGGGATCAGGGTGACGTGGGATCACCCCCAAGTTTATGTTAAGTAAGGTTACACCGTGATTTGATAGCTTTGGAACGGCTCCTAGCACGTTCGAGGACGAACGCGAGTTTAAGTGGTGGAGGATGTAACGATCCGACTGGTCGTTTTGAGTATTTGCACTTCGTTCGGTGATTTAGAGCCAAACTTTGTGTTTCGAAGCCTTTAGAGCCTCATTCTAGCCTTCCCTTATTTGCGTGCGTAGTCCGGGAATTGACCCGGGAGGCTTATATGCAACAACAACAAAAAATTGATAAAAACAAGAATTTTTGCCTAAAAAGTTAATTCTAGTTGATTTCAAATAACGTTTTGAGTAAATATATCCGGACCTGTGTTTTGACGGTCCCGGTGGGTCCGTATTGAAATACGGGATCTGGGCCCGGAATTGAATTCCGAGGTCCCTAGCTTGAGTTATGAATTTTTATTGAAAATTAAAAGTCTGAAAAATCTAGTGTTTTTATGAATTGATTGAATGTTTAGCATTGTTTATATCGGGTCTGTATTTTGGTTTCGGAGCTCGGTACAGGTCCAATATAATATTTTTGACTTATCTGTGAAATTTGGTGGGAAATGGAGCCGGTTTGACGTGATTCGGACGTCCGGTGGTAAAAATAGAGATTTCAAAGCTTTCTTGAAAATTTCATTTGATTTGGTGTCCAATTCGTAGTTCTAGGTGTTATTTTGGCGATTTGATCGCGCGAGCTAGCTCGTATGATGTTTTCAGACTGGTGTGCACTTTTGGTTTGGAGTCCCAAGGGGCTTGGGTATATTTTTGGATCATTGGTTGAGAGACTAGTAAAGTTAAGAAACTTGGGAGTTTGGCCATGGTCAATATCGGGTTAAGACAGCCTCTTTTCAGTGTTTTGAGTGCGCGAGCAGGTCCGTAGCATGTTTTATGATTGAAATTCATATATGGTTTGTGTCCGGGAGGTTCCGGATGAGTTTCGGGGTGGTTTCGGATCATTTCGGAGAAGTTTGGGTTTTGCTGATTTCTGGTGCGACACTGTTCATTCGCAATTGCGAACCTTTTATGGCAATCGCGATAACACTGTTCATCCGCAATTGCCAACAATTTATGAAAATTGCGAAAAAACAATGTTCATTTGGGAAATGCGAAGTTTTGTTCGCAAATGCGACATCTGCAGCCTGTTAAGTGCTGAGAATTTCGAGTTTTCGCTTTATTTTTTCATATTTTTGAACCCTAGCTTCGAGGTGAGGTGATTTTGAGAGGGGATTTTCATGCCAAATCATTGGGTAAGTATCTTTAATCAATTTCCAACTATATTTCATAATTTTATACAAGATTTAACATCAAATTCATGGGAAAACTATGGAAAAATTTTGGGATTTTCTCAAAGTTTTGAAAAAAAAATAATTTGAGATTTGGGAGTCGAATAAGACTCGGATTTGAAAAGAAATCACATATTTGGACTCGTGGGGCTACGGGCAGTCAAGACCTACCTTTGGACCCGGGTTTTGACCAGGCGGGCCCGGGGTTTGACTTTTGTTGACTTTTTAGAAATTGAATAAAAATCATAGCTTTATTAATTGAAATTGTTTTCTCTTGCATCGTGTGGTGTATTCAAGTCGTCATTGGCTAGATTGAGTCGAGCGGACGCGAATTTGTAGAGGAAAAGGCTAAGTTGAGTGTTGAGTTAACCGGA